AAATCATGTTTTTATCAAATGTTTGCATGTTAGTGAGAATTTATTAGAGAAAACTAATGTAAAAATAATCGTCAAGATTGTTTGAGAAAAATTTGAGATATTAGACTTTCATATATAAGCATATAACTGTACAGTAGAACTGCAATTCACTTATATATATATATATACATATAATATTTTTGGATAAAAATTATTATATAATCAAAGTTTGGTAATAATAACATTGGTACACTTGGTTCTCTTGTTCTATTAAAAGCAATTGACCATATTAAAAGTCAAGTTGAATATCTTAATATTGAAGTAAATTTTTTTTGTCAAATATAAATAAGAAATATTAGAAACAAGTATTTTTTTTTTCAAATAGAATGTTCTTATTAATGATGATTTTCTTGATTTATATACACAAATTAATCAATATTTAAGACCACTTGAAGTTATACATGGAGGAGTACGAGGAAGATTAGGACGATCACATTCAACAGGTAATATAAATTTGTAAGAAAACAAAAAAAAAATATCGCTTGATTGTATTAAATTTGGTTTGAAGTACCTGGTTTTACTATTATGGATGATATTGATTTACGATATCTTGATACGAAATCATTACATGCGATGTTTCAACGAGATCCATTTAAAATTCTTGCTCGTATGGCTAAAGAAGGTGGATATGATTTCCCAAAGGCATTGAAAAAATGGGATATAGAAGAACATGGACATTTAACATATTCTATCTATGTTATTGATTTTCCAAGTGCTGTTAAAGTAAGACTTTTGAAATTTTGTTTTGTTTTTTAATATTTGATTTCAGCAATATTCAATTAAGTTTAGTGTTAGATAAAGATGATATTAGTATTCAAATACTACGAATGATGTCTGAGCATAGTGTCAATCATTCATAAATTATCCTAATCATTAGAATCAACGAAAGAGAGAGCATCTCTATTGAAGAACAATGATACTAGGTGCATAATGAAATGACAAAAAAAGCATGAAATTATTAATTGAAAGAATTCGTGTAAATGATGTGCAAGCACGTTGATGCGTTCATAGATTTTTTCTTACACATACCTCCATCGACAGACGCATATTTCCAGACTCACACGCTCTAACGACCGTAATTTCAGAGAATAGGGGGTTTTTTCGACATTTTTACTTTTGATGTTATGTAGGCGACTCGTACAGTTCGATGAAAATACTAACATATTGACTAAACTAGATTGATGTTCATGGAAGCGTTGACGCAGCTATACAGTATAGCTAGCGTGTCAACGAACATCAGTGGGAATTTTCGATGTACAGTTTACTGAAACTATATACATTTCTGATTAGAAGGATGAAGGACAAAATCTTTCCACTCTTTTGTGAAACATTAGGGTGTCGCATGTGAATTAGCATTAGCATTAACCATTAAACCTAGTGCTTTAGCATTATTGGCATTAGAGTTAATTAATGTTCAGGTATTATCATTAAGTCAGCATTATTTGTAATTCTAATACATATATCCCATGTAAGTTTTTGAGCACTATCTAGATACTATTCCTGTAACTTTTCAGGACCTACCTGCACGTAATATTTATAATGCTTGGGCGCCTTACGTGTATCGTGGAACAAAATAATGAATGTAAGTTTAAATCGTGATTGCTGGGGTCCCTATTCCAGGTCCTAGCAACTGGTGGGGGCAGTAGAGCCCACCGGGTTCGAATCTGCAATCTTTTCGTTGACTGAATTCAGATCCGAAAGTTTTCGCATCCAACTGGTTCTAATTAGCAAGCTAACGATAATGGGTACATTTTTCTGACAACGAGAAAACGGGGTGTCAGAAATAATGATGCATAGATTATTCTGGAACTTTATAGAATGTGCAAAAGCATTTCTTAATGTAACATGAGTTTTTGTCCATGTTTGGGTTTGCATGTGAGTGAGAAAAAGACTACATTCATACGTACCCTCAAAACTGAGGCGATTAAAATGCATTTTAAAGTATTTGCCTGATTTTTTTGTTGTCAGGAAAATCTATGTTTTTTAGCTAAGATGAGAAATCGTCAAAAAACAGAAATCTCACGAAAAAAGAGAAAGTTGTTTCATTCCATTCAGTTTTTTATACTGATTCTGGGTCTACCATTTTTTTGTGTCAACGCAATAGACTGTCAATAGTGAAAACCTTGTATTGCTAGCAAAATTTCATGCTTAAAGGATCTTCGATCGCATGCCGAGATTCCTTTATTTCCAATGCAGTAATATTTCTGAAAACGAAAACTACAATTTCGAAGTAAAATGTACGTCGTTTACAATGATATGTACAAGTTAGCTGTACCATGACATAGAACAAAGAAGATCGCATTCCATAAGACCTCATCAATTTGTTGAAATATCACTTGCAGTTCATGTTATGATTCAATATCTTTTTTGATGGACACATGCTTAAAGTGTACTAAAAGATGACTCTTACAGACTCAGTTTTTATGAAGACTCTAAACATACCAGTTTTGGAATCTGCATGAAATGTAAAGTCTTTCTTTAATCATAAAAATGTGGAAGTTTTTTAGTATGAAAAATGTAATGTTGAGAAAACTGTACCGTTCAACATAATCAAAAAACTTCGAATTTTTTAATGAACAGTCTTTTGCAAGAAACTAGAAAACACTTTTTTTATTTTGTCCATCTCTGTACCTTACAAGAGCTAGAACTAACATGTTCAGCTCGATCCTACATAGTTACAAATAGGATAAGTACAGAGCTCTTGAAAGGTACAGGTACGTTGCTCAATGGGCTAACGACAAGGTATAAATATAATGGCCAGTTAGCTCCTGAAAAATTACAGATCTTATGTCTCGGTAGTCTCTAAAAAGCTACAGGTAATATGTCAAAGTAACTCAGAAAAATCTACCGGCAGCATGATAAAGTTACTCAGAAAAAGCTACAGGTAATATGTCAAGATAACTCTAGAAAAGTTACAAGTATCATGATAAGATAACTCTAAAAAAGTTATATGGAACGGATATAATGAATTAAAAATAATGCTAACTCGACACATCTATAAAGATTATCAAAAAGGAACGTTCAAGTATTTGAGTAAATATAAACTGCTTGCTTATTGTGTTTTTTTGAGAGCTAAAAGAATAATGAAGAAATGTATCCTAAATAGAACAGTTTTTCTGTAGTCAACAATCTCAGCTACATCGTATTTCACATTTTTTTATCCTGCAAGGATTTTGCTAACAGCTTTGCTGTAATTATAAGATGCTTGAAAAGTGTCTAAAAGGGATTTATCACTTTCTATGCCATATGTACATTGTCTAAAAAATTGAGATTTCACCTAGCCAATGTTATACAGTTCCTGTTTTAATACTGTTTTTATCCCAGCTAAAATCAAAATTTGGTAGTGAAATATATCTCTAAACATTGATACGAAGTATAATAAATGTAGCTTTCATCGTTGAATTACACTTAGAGCTCTCATCGTCTCTTTTTAAACACAATTGTTAAATGAATATTGAAACCTATAACAAAAACTTTGAATCTCGTTGTATTTCACATATTGTTAACAACATCTTAATGATATTTTTCATCCATAACTAAATTAATTCTACGTTCTTCTCTCAAAGAATTTTATTAAGGACATTTGTTCTTTTTCAATTCTTAGAAAAATGAACGTTAATGACATATATCAAGTTCTATTTCCTTATTAAACTCACGATTGACAGTTCACGTTCCAAATTAGCACGGAATTACTTATTCTCATGAGAATAATACAAAAAACAGATAATATTTCTAATTATGATATCGTTTAAATAATAAATAATAATGGATAAATTTGCTTTAAATATCATCTAACGTAGGAGGACTTCCAGCTGTTCAATCGTATTTAATTCGAGACTATGTGCATTGTGTAGATCCAAATTAGCTGTAAATATCGTAAAAGAGTTCGTGTTCTGAACTTATTGTCATAGAGATATTGCATGTTTATGGGATTCTCTAAATTAATGCCGTGGTGGATCACGGCATTTATTTTAAAGAAAAATCGTACTAAAAGTGCAGTATCTCCATTGTAATAAACTAAGGGCACGAACTCTTTTCAGAGTATTCATAACTTGTTTGAATCTACATAATGCAACTAGTCTCGACTTCAAAGCGATTGAACAATTGGAAGGTTTTGTTCGTAAGATTTTAAAAAAGTTTAAATTTCTTTCTATTAGGATGCTGGTATTATTTTGGACAAGACTCTTCATTTTATCTTATGGAATTATCTCAAAAAAATTGAAAAAAAAGGTTCTGTTAGTTATCTGTAAGCTAATCGAAATTGATCAATTGAGAAAAAAACACACATCATTTCTATATTTTAGCCAATTTATTACTCCATTGCCAAAATTAAGTCTCAAAAAACCAATAAAGAAAAAATCGAAATCCATCAATATCAAGAAACAATGAATTTTTTAATGTTATCTTTTTTTTTTAGCTTTTTCTAAATCATCTCATTATTTTTCTTGTTGTTAAGTTACATTTAAGAAAACAAAAAGAAAAAAAAATGAAAGATAATAAATATCAAAGAAATAAAACAAACATAATTCCCAAGGAAATTGAGCTTTTAAAAAGAAACGGACGTTGTTTCTCATATATATATAAATGTACGTATATATATATATATATATATATATATATATTAAAGCAATAACAGCACCATAGTCAATTGTCCGAAAGAAGCAAACAAGAAAAAAAAATCGTTAAAGAAGAAAAGAGAAATAAAAACATAGATGCACGGAAATAAAAACTAAAAGAAGACAATCTTGACCAGAACAAAAACAAAAAGAATAAATATGCTTAAATTATGTTTGTTGTAATCAAAATCATTGTATATATATATAGATGCATACATATATATAGAATAAATATGTCAGTAAGAAGGAAAAAGAAAATCATGTTTAAAACACGCTAGCAATTAAAGAATAAAGATCAACAGTATACATATGATTTAAACGATAAAAACAAAAATACATTTTTTTTTATTCATTGCTTATAGGTGGAGCTATTGTTTGAGATGATTGAAGTTGACGGTGGGTAGTTTTTATCTCACTGTTATTGAAACCGTTGCGACGATTATTATTATTAGATGATGGTTTTGGACGTGTACGACGAGTATTTTCATTAAAATGTTGAGGATATTTTTGTTGTTGTGGCCGACGACGATAATTTACATCTGAAAAAAAAACAAGAAATTTTCAAAAAAAATTTTAAAATATTTTAATTTTTTACTTTGATAATTATTTGAATCATCATAATATTGATAAAAACCATTAACTAATGATGGAACATGAGAATTTTCATGATAATTACCATTATTATTATTATTATCATTAAAATTATGTTTGTGATTAATTCTTTGTGGTAATGGTTTTTGTTGATTATTAGAAGACATATGTTCATTTAATGTTGATGATGATACTCGAACATTATTTAATTGTGTTTGAATATTTTCTATAGATTTTTCTGGTAGAGTTTTTTCTACTGTTGTACTATTTTGTTCTACTAATGATGATGATGATGATAAAGTACGTGATCGATCATATTTTCTATCAATTCTTAAAACTGTTCCAAAATTTTTTAATGCATCAATAATTGTTTGATCATATTGAAAACGATGTGATGATGTTAATTCTTCACCTAAATCATAACGACGTTCGGTAACAAATTGTTTGACATCATTTCGAAGATGATCAACTTCTAATGGTTCAAGACGATCACAACGATCCATACGTTGACGTAATTCAATAGCACGTTGTTGTCGATTATGAATTATATTTAAACCTTGTTCTTTAACTTTATCGATTTCTAAATATAATTCAACTTCACGTTCTTTAATTATTTCACGAATTTGTTTGAATACATCATCAATCCGTTTTACAGAAGATTTTATTTCATTTTCAAATGATAATTCAACATTACTTAATGTTGATGTTTGACGTTGAAGATCTTTAGTAGATTTTGTAAGAACTAAAATTAAAAAAAAAAGAATTTTCAAATAAAAATCTTGTTGTAATAATAATTGATCGAAGAAATGATTTGACAAAAGATATAAACATTTTTCAGTCTTTTAAAAGAGTTGACAGAATTTGAGAATTGGAACTTAGAATAGGAATTTTCTATTCTTTTTTGCAAATGAGTTCAAAATTTTTGTAGAACTTCTAATTTAAGAGCAAAAATGATTTCATACATACCGAATGAATGAACACATATTTCTTAATAAAATGAGTTAGCTTCAAGCCTTTCATTAATAGTGAGTATTTCAGGTGAGGAGTATAGTGTCAAAATTCTCGATTTCTATGCAAAACGGATTTATAAAGTGAGCTTGACCATTAGAAAACTACAAGTCCACGATAATGTAGATTCAGATTCGACAATAAATTAGACGTTGAACTCGCAGCTCTCTGTCGGCTATTCCGGAATGATTATTTTAAAAGTCTTGATCCTTATGTTACTTTGTAGAGAATAATTTTGCCTTTAATTCTATGCAAAAAAAACATCGGTGAGACACAGTTAGTGCAAACAATGATTAATTTTTTATATCTAAGCTTAGCTAAGACGTCGGCTCATCACTCTTAAATCAGAAGGTCGACAAAAATTTTGAAGGTGTATTTGGAAAAGGAAAACAAAATTCTGATTCTAATCAAATATTTCCAAATAATTGTAGGCTGCTATAAAAGGCTGATCATTTTTTTATATTAATTTTTGATCATTCATTAATTAAACGAAGATAACTTACGTTTTCTATTATTACTAAATGTTGTTGTATTTGAAGACGAAGAAGGTTTTGTCACTGGTTTTGTTGTAGTTGTGATTGAATTATTCGTTGATTGTTGAATATCATTAGATAATGATTGTTGAGTTGATTCATGACTTAATGTCATTGATGATGTTGAACCATTACTATCTCTTATATTTCGTCGACGTTTTGATTTTCCATTATATCCATTTGTTTCATTGATATTATGATTACCTTGATCAATATGATTTGTTAATGAATTAATTTCATCATTTATTGTTATATTAGATGCATCATGAAAAATATTTTCTGTTGATTCAATACCATTTACTAATGATTGAGAATTATTTGTGGTTAAATCTAAAAATTTGAAATTAAATAAATAATAATTAATTGGAAAAAAGAAAAATCTTTGTTTTTATTTTTACCTTGACTGAGACATGGACGAAATGAAAGATCAGTTGATGGATATGTTTCAAGATTATTGTTTGATTGTTCGTGAAATGATGATGATAGAGAAGTTTCTGTATTTGATATTGATGTATTTCCTAAGAAAGAAAATTTTATGTTTTATTTATTGAAATGAAATTTTTTTTTTCTTTCACCATTCGTAGTAATTGTTGGTATGCCACCTTCAGCAAATGTTTGAAATATATTTGAAACACGTTGAGATGGACGTAAAATACCATTAGATGATGATGTTGTTTTGTTATCTCGAGTAGTAGGTTTACTGTTTGCCCGTTTCGTGGAATTCTAAAAACAATTTCGTTTTTGTTTTGTAAAAATAAAAATAAAGAATCTTATTACATTTCCACGACTATTGCTCATTTCAGTCCAACCACTAAGAGCTTCGATAGCTCCATCTGAAACAAAAAAAAAACAAAAATTATAAAATATCTATTGAAAACAGAAAAAAAAACAAACTCACTTCGTTTAAATGCTTCAACTGTTTCATCCACATTTAATTCATAGTAAAGTAATGCAAGTTCAATTTTTTCACGTGAAAGATTAGATAAATGAGGTAATTGAGAACGAACAGCAGATACATTATCACGCATGGCATTTTTTCGTGGCATTATTGTCTCGTCCTTTTCTTAATCTTCAAAAAAAAAATAAATAAAAATCAACAATCAGAAACAAAACACTAAATATCTTTGCTTTTATATTCCTATTAAATTGCATGATAATACAAATATTTATTATTATTATATACTTGTTTTTGTTAATAAATAATCTCTTGGGTATTTTGATGAAAATGAAAAATTTTCTATTTGCTTTTGTTTTTCTTTTTTTTATTAGAAAATAACACGCAAAATGTAACTCTTGACGCAGATGCAAACTTTTATTGCAAAAAAAAAAAAGAAAAAGTAGGCCTTTTATATTCTCTTTTATCAGCAGAACAAAAAAAAAAATATGTTTTTTCTCGAAAGTAAAAGTATCAGTATCAAACGACCTGTATTATGTAATTTACGACAAGAACAACAAATAAAATAACTAAGTATAAATGACAATTTTCTTATAAAATGAAAAAATTTATGAATAATTCTCTTCTTTGACTTCTTTTTGTAATTCCTTCTTTGCTAATTAAAAAAAAAGAAAAACTTCCAAAAAAAATCAAAGATATATAATTCTATAAACCAAATACCTGATTTTTTCGTTTTTGTTTCTACTTTTTTGTGTATAAGTTAAACAAAATTATATATCAAACATATGCATGCCTTTCGAGAATAAAAACGGTTTAAAGGTGCACTATATAACAATGGTACAATATATAACAATGGTGCACAGCTGTGTTATGGTGCGTAGATAAATCAAAAAAAGTTACGATGACAATGACATTGTGATTTCGATAAAGAAAAAAAACAACCAACGCGAATACGTGGGTGGCGATTCTCTATAAAAATAAGAAAAACACACAGTCCGTTCTTGATTTTGACACGTAAAATTTTTTTCGTTTGTGCTTTTCGTTCTTCTTCATTATGATGGATGACTATGATACAAATGATAATATGACGTAAATTCAAAAGTCAAAAAAATAGCGTGGAAAACAATAAATGAATAAATGTTTCATTTATTTAGTATCTATGGTTTATTAAACCTTGTTTTTTTTGTTTTCGTTTTTTTTTATAAAAAAGAAATACTGTAAATCTTAGTTATATCTTATCTCTTTCTCTCTCTGTGTATATAACTATCAAACTGAACAATGACGAGAAGAAAGAAAAAGAAAGAACGAAAAATGTCAATAAACAATCATTTTGTTCATATGAGAAAAGAATAGGTGGCAAAACTGTATGGCTCAAAGTCAACAGAAGAAATCGACATGCTAACAAGTCGAGAATATGTACCAATACGATGTTGGGATACTCCACATTGTGTAGCTGTGTATCTCCTATTCTTCTACTTCCTCTTCCTCTTTCTAGTCGTCGTCGTCTCAACTGTAACTATAGACAGACAAGAATGTAAATATCGTCTTCTCTCTCTCGCTTCAGTTTGCACGCCCTCAATCGATATAAGCCATCACCGCTAGTATCTTAAACACACTACCATTATCATCTTTGCATGTATATAAAGAAAAAATGCAGTTTTTCTTTCTCCCTCTCTGTCTATTATATTCTCTCCAATACTTTTATTCCATACTAAACAAGAATAACTAACAAAATACCTTTGATAATAATTTATAATGAAAAAAAGCAACTTAATTTCAAAAACAAAAGTACTTATATTTATGTCAAAAATTATCTCTATTCTGTTGTTCTTACTTATTCAAAACAAATAAGAAAAAGACAAAAAAAAAGTGCAAAATGATGATGATGATGATATGTAGACTGACCAAGATAAAAATTTGCAACGACATGTCTACTAAGTAAAGCTGACAAAAAATAAAATACTCACAATCGATGACACGAAGGTCAATAATATCAATTGTCGATTTACTTATACCATAAAAAAAAGTCACGTTTTTTGAAAAGCACAAAAGAGATCGAGAAAGAAAGAGAGCAACGAATAGAGAGAGAGAGCGAGCGAGAAAAATCAATATGATTATTCTAAGACCGACAAAAAGCTTATACTTTTTCAAACAGACAATTAAGCATAAACGAAAACGACAGAACGAATAAGCATGAAAATAAAAAGATCTTAGTAGAAAACAACAGATTACGCAATTATCAGGATTAAAACATACCAAAGGAATGAAAAAAAATTTGCTACCTTCATATGTTTATTCGTTTGATGTCATATACGTCATCGAATCAACTCGCTTAAATAGTACAAATGCTTTAGTCAGAGAGAGAGAGAGAGAAAAAAAGAGAGGAAATCATCTCAATTTTGATTTGTAAATTTTTATTTTATATTATTTACAATGAAAAGTGTTTATTCTAAAAAATTTCAAAAATTTCGAATAATTTTTAATTCAATTTTGTAATTTTATTACTATCATTAATCAATATTATAGATGTCATTAGTATAAAGTATTGGAAATTTTAAAGGTAGTTGCTTAGTGATGAAGTGTAGAATTATATAGTAAAAATTAAGAAGAAAACAATTTAAAAAAGAGAACTATATACGATTACTAAAGATGCTCGTCGGCGGGTATGACTTGAAAAAGTTAATTAAATCAGATCGATATTCTTATTTATTAGATCATCTCGAACCTATCGTGAACAACAAACAATACACAATAATAATCAACAAACCGAGTATGTAAAAAACAAAAACCATTTATCGAAAAGAAAAATTAATTACAAACTTCATATGTTTATATCAATGTAGAAATCGAGTTTCTTCTTTTCGAAATCTTCTATATCTTGAGTTAATTTATTTGGTTCTTCTAATAAACTAGAAGCAATTATTATAATAACACATAATGTCAGCGAACACATATGTAGCGTGAAGAATATCAAAAACAAATTTTCTTCTATTATTGATAATTGTTGATTTTTATAACCTATACATAAAAAAGTCATGTACTCGATCTCATAGAAACCCTCTAGAACACATCTATTTAAATATATCAACGAAAGTAATCTATTATTTTAAACGTTAGAAAAAAAAAAACAATGATATGGATTATAGAAATTTTTTATTGAAATTTATACTTTCTTCTTAATAATTTTAGTTCATCAATGGATGATGATCTACTTGATAATTATCTTTCACAAGATCGAAGAAAACTATCATCACGAAAAATTCAAGAAGTTGCTTCAAGTACTATTATTGAAAGTTTAACAGCTGAATGGTGGACATCAAATTTATCTCAAACAGTTATTAATGATTTACTTGAAAATCTTATTCCATTAGTAGTTTTAGCTTGTGAGAAAGTTCTTAATGAAGCAGATGAACGTCATTTAATTGAAACAACCACACCAGATCGTTCATTTAATCCAATTAATCGTTTAGCATCATTTTTAATGCGTAATAATCCAAAATATATACATTATTCATCATTATCACCATATCATTATTCAATGAAATCATTATTAAATACAAAAAAAGTTCAAGTATTAAAAGTCTATGGTGAAGAAGAAACATTATTACGTACAATACTTAAACAAAGACAAAATGAACGTAGTCAACAATACGATACTATTAATAAAGAAGAAGAACGACGAAAAAATTTACTTAGAACACTCTTTTTCGATTGGAATGTACCCGAAAGAGGATGGGTTCAAACTAGATTGGTAATTATATTTATTTTGAATATTAGATAATAAGAAATAGAAAAGAATTTCCAATAAAATTCTACAGATGTAAACATATTAAAAGAAAAAATTGTACTTCTACTTATATACATTGAACACGAGAAAATTTTTTTCATTTAGTCTCTCAAGTCATTCTAATGTGGGTTATCTTTCTAAAGTATTGTTCCTTAGTAGAAATAAATTATTCATGTTGAAAATTAAATTAACATTATAACAGCCGATCCATAAATACTTAACCTTTCAAAATTTTAACTGAAAACATTTTTTCTTTTTAACTCTTAGGCCCGATTATTTTTTCAAAAGATGTGAGGTTATATTCTCTGTGAAAATTTAATCAGATTTATATTATTATGCGGTTCAACATTTGCCCAACTCCAGCCAAGGCTGGGCAAGTACGAGTTTTCTTGAGTACGAGTACGAATATCAACCCTCTGAAACACGAGTGCGTGTACGAGTAAGTACTTATATCTTCCCAGCTCTGACCCCGATAGAATATCGAAAGATCAAATGTTCTAAAAAAATCAGTCGAAAGTGACCGAAATGCGCCATTTTCTTAGTTTTAAGTCCCCTGAATCGAAAAGGAAAAAGACTCGGCATACTTTCTTTGCTGAATCTGATATGAAAGTCACTTCACAGCAAAAGAAAAAACGATCCAGAATTCAAAAGATATTATTTTGGTTTACAACGGTATCTTTTCAGGTTGCAAACTGCTTTTTGATAGAGAAAATGTTCGTTTGATGCGCGCATTTTTGAACAAAAAGCTATTGTCATATGAAAACTCGACTTTCAATTTTAAACTTTGGATGAACAAAGGCCTCAATGAGATTGGTTGACTGTGTAACCTTTAGTTTTTCTAGGATCTCCTTTATGGAGATACAAATATCGGAACAAAACTTGTTTTTACGTATGAAAAAAGTTCGAATATTGAATATTTTAGAATAGGATATATTAGAAAAGTTAAAACTTAATTTTGCACATGATCACAGGTTTTTGTTGAAAAACCCAATAGAATTTCGATATCTCAGAAATGAAGGTTCGGAAAAATTAACTATTCTTGACTTTTCTATTACTTACTAGCACTCATCAAATGTATATCGTTTGGGTTGAAAATCGATTCGACACATGGAAAGGTTCCCTCGTTAGTTATCTGACGTTATTCAGGAGCACTGAAATAACAGATTGTTATCGATGAGATTTTTTTGCATGTCACAAGGAGTGTGAGAAAACTGATGCCAATCTCTAAGATTGTTTTCACATTTATTCGATTAATGTCAGCTGATAGTTTTTTACGAGCTATAATATGTGCATATTTTCTTTTCTTTTTATCACTCAGCTTAATGTAGGCATTTTAGATATAACAGTTTTTCAGCTTAGAAAAATTGTCTTGTTCCTGTGTTGCTTACTCTTCGTTCAATTTTTTTTTTCGGAAGCTTCTTTAGAAATAGATCTGATTAAGGTGTCGTAGAGAATTCCACGATGCATCTTCTGGAAAAGCAAAGAGATCTTAGGTTTGAAAAGAAAAGAAGGGTTACAGTTAAAATACAAAAAGATTAATGATTATGTGGTGTAGCTTGTGGAGAGTGGTGAAGCGTGACGCATTTCCCGCCTCCAGTGTTGAGATATGCCTGGGTTCATGATTTATAAATCACCCGATATTTGTAGCGTAATATGAATCTAAATATAATTTCATATGATTTTCATTCTGAAAATTCATTACTATTCAAGATTCTATCTAATGTAACGTTCTCGTCAAGATTTTTTCAAATGTTTTCAATAATAGTTGTTAAGAACACTGAATAAGAAGACTTATATATCATTCATCAGGTATTGATTTTCAAAGCTGTAAATAATTAAAAAAGATGAATAAGGAGTGGCAAGCAAAGTATTATTTCTATTAACAAAAAATATTTTCAATTATTGTGCTATCTTAAATTTCAATATATTTTCTAGTACTGACTATAGTTATAACTTTCTTTGTCGTTCGGAACTGTGTTCATTTCAAAGTCAAGCTATACATAAACACAGTTAATAAATAAAAAGAAAAACTACAAAATAAATGTAAAAGTTTTAAGTCTAAAATATATATCATAGAATAACCTATAAATATTGAAGGAACTTATTAAAAAAGAGAATAAATAATGATAAGAGCATTTTCTTTAGATAAACAATATGATTGAACAATTCAATGAAATGCCAAAACCAAATGATTTAAAATTAGATATATCTCCATTTCAATCACATCGAATGCATCTTGGCACGTTTAGTGAAGTGTGTGTAATTATATTTTAAGTGAAATTTTATTAAATTTTATTTATTCGATAGAATTTTCTTAATGGTTTAAAAAATCAATCATCAAAAAATTTTGATTCAATTATAAATATATATCGTCATTGTGCACAAACATATTCAAATATTGTTCAAGAACATGAACTTAATCTTTTATTACAACATCTGTTTAATAGATTAGATGATAAACAAGTATTTAAATATTAAATAAACGAGAAAAACAAAGAATTTAGTTGTTTGCTTCTTTTTTAGAGTGGCTATCTCCTTCGACCAACTGTTATGAAAATATTACAAACATTTTATAACACTTTAAATGATAATGATAAACAATATGTTAATCAACCAAATCAATGTAAATATTTATTTGTCTTACTTTTTTGTTTAATAGAAGTCCAGTCTCGAGTTTATAGTCTTCCAAAGATAATAGATGCTCATCCTATCTGAACGAACACAAAATGAGAGTCAGACAGTCGCTCATAGGTATGGATGTGGGTATCACGAAGCTGCGGTTTCACATTTCTGTGGATCCAGATGCGTTCGGATCCGAGTCTGAAATGATAGACAGCTCCTTAATAAGTATGGATGTGAATACTGGCTTGGGCTTTCTCTTCATTCACACCCACAACCATTCTTACGCTCATGTGAGCAGGTGTTCTCAGTTCACGCAAAATAGCAATGTAAATCATCGAATAGATAATTCGTCGCTTTTCGCTGTTTAGTTGTAACTTCCTTAGTGTATCTGATTTTGTTTGTTCTGCATGTTTTCTATTAACGAACAAACGATTTTCTTTTGCGCGTCGAAAAACTTGTGTACACGAGCATTCATAAAACACAGCTGTTTAGGAACTGGTAAGTAGAAAATAGATATAGTTTGGTACCTTTCTGTTCAGCTTTCTTCTTATTTTGTTAAGGTAACACAGATACTGAAAAATTAGACGTCTGACAAAGCTAATGAATAGTAGCCGATTGAGATTATACAAGAGTTTATTGAACTCGAGAACAAGTATCAGTATGAAATAAATACGATATCTGTTATTGAAACACTCATAAGAGCTGAACTACCTATTTCATAAACATAAGAAGACCTCATTTGATAATACATGCTTCTCTCTATACTTCTTTCAAGATAATTGCAATATATCTGCTTACGTTTCTGAAGTATACATCAACTTTTAAGATGACATTGTCTGGCAGAGTCGTATAGAAGTTTTATCAACTCCTTTAAAGCTCGATAGCATCTGTATCAAGACCCATGAACTGCTGATCACACACGAACATATGAATGAGAAAAGTATAAAAGTTAGTTTTCAGTTCAGTGGTGACTATCATAGCTCTTATCAAAGTTTTTGAACAATTTGAACGTTTCAATTTATCGAGTCTTGTGTACTTCAGTACTTTTAAGCGAATTAACTCGTAGCTATAATATAATAAAAATTGATCGCAATAAAAGACCATCACCAAACTTTTGACTTCTTAAAAAGATACGAAGAGCCATGGGTTACTATTCTGTGAAAGAAGGTTATTATGACTTTTTTCTATTAGGGCCTGTTATTAAACAAACAATATTAAATAATGAAAATAAATCGAATGAAACTTCATCAGAATCTGAAATAGTTCAAGAAGAAAAACGATCTGGATCACCAGTAACAAATGAACAACAAATTGTATCATCGAGTTCAGCTGATGAAACTGAAAAAGTTGATGAAGGACAAGAACAAACAAATGAAGAACAAAAAAAATCTCATATTGAATTAAAACATCCTTCAGTTTGTAAGATTATTTTGTTTTGTTTTTCTTTGAAACTCTTATATGTTTTGCTTTTGAATAGATGAAGTTGAATTTCGTTTTACAAATGAACAAAAACCAATATGTAAATGAAGATATTGACTTTTTTTTTGAAGTAATATTTTTAATTATTTTTCTTTATTTAAAGATAATTTAGAACATTTTGATACCGTTGATCATGAAAAATCAATACGGTTTGATGAACAACTTATCGATAAAATACAATTTAGTGCTTTATTATTATCATTTTCTGGTGTGAAAAAAAATGAAATGGTTATATCAGCATTAATTGATTATTTTCGATCAAATTATAAAGAAACAAATGAAGAAAAAAATGCAAAAAAGATGCTTGTAAATCATCAGCATATTTTTGTTTTCTTATACACTGGCCTTCACATAAGTTATTTTTGCTCAATTCTCCTAAAAGTCATAATCTAAGTGCAAGTATCCTATTATTATGCATAGACATATTTAGGATAATGTACAAAGTTTCAGCGTTTTGACATTATATTTTCTTCTTTCCTTCATAATAGTCACACACCATTGTTGATATTAATTCGAACTCTATTTGTGGGAAGCAGAATGTTGTATTTTTCATCTACTAGTAAGGAACTTGACCTAGGTAGAAAGCCTCTTAACAGACACTTGTTTCATCTCAAACTATATTTCGCTATTGAATCTCAACAAATTATACTTTCGTGTAACTAACGTAAATTCTGTTTCTGATTACCGAGGCAATTATTGAAACTAGAAGAAAAGGGCGTCCCAATGGGAACTGAAGATTATAGTTAAATATTCTATGGTTTGAAGCGAATTATCTTATAAATCATATCAATTAAATTATAATTGAAAAAAGATAATCCAAAAAAGTGCTAGTCGTCAACTAAATAAATCAAAACACAAGTATTGAAGTCTTATTTTAGATATGATACGAAAGAACTTTGAAATAATTTTCTCTTGATCGAGGCCACATTCGGTTTGTCGAAGCCGTAAACGGAACCACTCAGACAGAAGTGACCGAGATCAAGACCAAAAATAACTTAGTTCCTCATATCTCTGTGTGTGATGGATATGAAAGAAATCAGAAAAAACAACTCTTTATCAGAATTGAGCGAAAAATTTTTGTAGTATCCCAAATGTAGTTTAGAACAATTTTCAAAAATTTATAAATAGGTACAGCAACGTCTGATTGACACAGAGCAACGTAGTCAAAGTGATTTACTCTTTGAAAAAATAAATACAACATGTACAGGAGTTATTAAACTTGAACCATTGGCTAATATTCTTAAACAGTATAAAGATGGAACAGTTACTGAACAGATTGAACAAGGTAAGTTAATAAAAACAATTTAGCAAAATTTGAATAAAAACCATGACTTTGCAGCTACTGGGTAGTTCAGGATCATTGCTCACTTATGCTATGTAGTCGTAGGACTCAATAGATGTCTAAAATATCAATTGGATCAATAAGAATTCTTTTTAATATCAAAAGGAGTACTTCAAGTTTTCATTACTTTTCAACACCATCTTCCAAGTTTAACTCTTAATTCAACGTAGACTCAATCTTAATTATTCATATAAAACTTTCTTTGTATTGTCGAACATTCAAATTAGTTTTTCTCGTTTTCTTTTACAAAAGTTCTTCAAACATATCAAGATCAAACACAATTGAGTTGTACACAATTTTACGATCTTCTTATCAATATTCATCAAACACTCAATGAAACAATGGGTGGTGGTGAAAAATTCGATGATCTTCTTAAATTTGTCGATAGTCAACAACCACAAGTATAAATTAATAAAATAAAGATAAAATAATTTTTATTTATGTATGTATCGATTTCGTTTTAGCTAAATACATCCGATCGTACACGTATTCATACTCGTCATCAATGGTTAAAACGTATACGTAATATTCCATTTCGGACATTGGGTCTTCTTTATAAAGAAGTTATGGATATAATACAAAAAGATTCGGAAACATTTAGTAATCAACAAACAAAACATTTAAGTATTTATATTGCTTTAGTGGAAAAGGATAGAAATCAATTACGATATGTTGCTACAACAAATGATCAAACTGATTTATTATTAGGTAAAACATTACAACGTGATGAAGGCATTTCGTAAGTAAAAATTAAATCAAATTATTAGTATGTTTCTTCTTCTTTTTTTTATAGGTTTCAAATACTTGATAGTGGAAAATGGGCATATATAAATCAAACAAAAAATCATTCACGTATTAAATTTTTTAATCCAGATGCTAAAAATCAATCGGGTAGTTTTGTTTTAATTCCATTAAAACGTTTTCAACGTACATATTCAAATGGTTTATTGGGTATTGATACATTACAAGACAAAAAAGAAAAAGCATTTGTTCAGCATGAAGTACAATTTTATGAAGGCATTGCATCAGCATTATCGGATACATTTACATTTGTTGATTTTGATAAGAATATGATGAAAATTCTTCATCGATTTATTTATTGGATTAAACAACGATGTTCAAATGTAAGTAATCAATGCAATCATGATAGATCTTGTCTTTCCGTTGAAGCATTTTGACGAATGAAATAATCGAAAGTACCACAACGTCCTAGGCATTGTCAATGCTCGTCCGAATACAATAGTTTTTCACTTAGTTTAATCGAAATTAATAATTTGAAGTCATTTCATTTTAATTTATATTCATTTAGATTTCAATTGTGGATTATTATACTTATGAACCTACGTCAATGAACAATCCATCAGAACGTTTACTTAAACATGTATTTACATATTCAAGTGGAAATTTAACAGTTTTTAATACACCAAAACTAGTTAATAGTCGTGAACAAGTATTTAAGTAAGAAACAATTTTTCAACAATATTTGTCATTAAATAAAATAAAACTATAGATATAATTTGGAACATGCTGCTGTCACTTGTCAATCAACGATAACCTCATTTCTTGGTCAAATTCATATGATACAAGCAATGCGTGGACGTGATAATTATTGTTTTGCTTTGATTGATACAATTATCGGTTAGTTAAAAAAAATAAAATAAATATTTCTTTTATAATTTTTATTTTAAAAATTCTTCTCTAGGTGAACAAGAAGATTTACCAAATGAACAAAAACAAGATTTAATATCGATGTATCGTTGTATTTATACGGCTGTTGACGAATTAGAACAAGAATTAATTGATGATACAACAAAAAAATTTTTAACTTATGAAAAAAAATCAGATGATATGCGTTTAAATTATCTATTTGATCGTACTTGGTATATGGATGTATGTAATAAAGTCAAACAATTATCATCAGAAAAAATACAAGAATTTATTAATAATAAATCAAAATGGAATGAACAAATAAAACAAATTTTATCTATTATTAGTCGACTTGTTAAACAGAAAGAATTAAATCCAGCGGATGTAAGTCAATTTTATAGAATAATCTAGAAATTAGATTTAGAGAACAGTGAAAAACCTGGAAGTAAAGCTGTAGGAGAGCTCAGTTCTCTGATCATTTCTATAGAAATAGCGACGATCTTCTGGTAATTCTCCTAGAGAGGGCTTAAGCTTCTTTGTCAGCGGAACTCAACCGTTTGTAGGGAAACTGAATTAAAAATAAACTTCGTTGAGTAATATTGATACTTGTACTTCTGAAGAAATTTCAATTTTTGAGATCTATAGAATCGAGATTAGCATTTTCTCATACATTTAGAAACCGAAGTCCGTTAGCATTAAAATTCAAATTTGATTATTTATTAAAAATATCTTTTATTGTAGATCTTGTGTGTATAAAAACTTATTTTGTTTAATTTCAGTATGCTGGTATTCTGTTTCCAGCTATGATAGAATTCGATCCAACAACAAAAGACTATGATCAAAACGATTTATGGAATCGTGCTGAACAGTTAATACAAAGTAAAATCTTATTTTCTATTTGTTATATTCTTATTTTTAAAAATGTAATTCTAGCAATCGATCCATCAATATGGCAACAACCATCATCTGATATAATTAAAATCTTATATGATTGGTTAAATCTTGCTTATGAACTCGAGAAACTTTCTAAAGCTCAATAAATCAACATATAATTTTTTTAAATAAATTTTTATTCTTTTTTATTTAATACAAGAATAATAACAAAAAAAAATAATCATATTATCTGACAAAGACAATGTTAAATATCTGATTTATAATCGAAGAATTTGAATGTGTAAATGATCATTTAAAATAGTACCATTGCTAATATCATCATCAGTTTTACTAAGAAAAATTTTTGCATATGTTCCACTTGCATTATTTATCATTGTTGAATCTTGATTTTTAACTAATCGGCCAATATTTATTGCACATACAGAATCAATAAACTATTCAAATAGAATAAAAATTAAACTTTTAAGGATGAACGATATAAACATCCAGTATCTTCGGGTTGCTTTAATAAATTGAGCTGACTTTTTTTTCTTAGCAATAGAGAACTTACATTGTTGACTAAAAGTATCTCAGACATTTTCATAACTACACATGTGAAATATAAGTCAATGAGACTAGACCAACCTCATTCGTTTGAACTAAAAAAGTAATTATAATGCGTAGTCTTTTAATGCGGTTATTTGTCGCTATAAATTCTACACTAGCATTTATCAGCTGCGGATAGTTTACATTATGAAAGGTTAGCTATATCACAAGTTCCTTCCATTCTTCAGTCATAAAATTGACTGTAAGAAGAGCTATCATACATGGTAATTCTTCTTCATCTCAAGCGAACGAGGTCGAGCTAGTGCCCCATTGACCTACATTTCTAAGATAGTACATAGGCTCGAAATTTCAGATGTAAAGCTAACAAGGGAACTCTTTTAAATGATAATCTCCGTTCAAGCTTGGTACTTTCTTTTTGAGTTATGATCATTTTACTGAATTTTCATCCTATTCTGCGTTATTACGAGAAAAGCTGAATTAAAGAATTTTAGTTTGAGATGATACCCAAGGAATAGATTTCATGATCCTTATAATATCCTGAAAGTTTCAGCAAAAATTGACGGTCTCTTCTCAAGATATTATACACTCAAAGAGATGGAACTTGTTCGAATCCTTATTATCTAGTTCTCAATGAATTATATCGTATTTGATAAAGTTTCTTTTTATTTTTGTCTTACCTTAATAAATGGTCGAAGATCAGATGAAGTAACAAATAAATGAGGTAATGAATCGATTTTTGCATATTCTATTGCTTGTTCATATTCAATTGAAACTGATTCATTTTGTGGAATTAATGGATAGAATCTATTCGTAGAAAATAATTTAGTTAATAAATGGAAATGTACAACTTCTTTGTTGTTTTTGAAATACATACGAATGTTGTTGAAATAAATGACGAATTAATCGACACATACGTTCTGTCGTTTGATTTCTACATAAGATACTTTTTTTTACAAAAACGAAATATTTCATTGATTTTTAAACATACAAACTAATTTCTTCTGAACTTAAATGACAAAGAATATCTGTTGATGTTAATGCACATTGAAGACCATCTATTGATAACAATGATGGTTCACAACCATAGAGAATTGTCTAAGAAATAAATTGTATATTATTTTTTTGAATATTTGTTTTTGTGTATTTTTAGCAAACCGAATCTTTATTTTCATTCATTGAAAACGGACATAAAGGATAAACTGAATCATGATGAATATCTCGTAATGATGGAATAAGAATCGTTTTTATTCGAAAACTGAAATAAATAAAAATATTACTATTTAATTAGATATACAATAAACTTATTCTTAAATTTCCCGTGAGATACAGGAAAAGAATTAATTTTCGGAAACCGATTAGAAGATTTTTGCTAAATGATCGTTATTCAGAAAATAATAAGGTGTTTTATTAGATTGTTTTTTAAATCATAATTTGAGATAGAGATACTTCAACTCTTTAAAACTCTTGCCAAAAATGGGTTATGATCCATTATTTTAAAATCCAGGATCTTTGCAAAATATTCAACAAATGCATAAACATCTTCTCTCGTTTCAATATAATTTTGATTTTAACATGTACTTCAGACTCAAAGTTCCAAATAAGAAAGATTCAAGTAATTAGTTTCCCATATGTCAATGCTGAGCAAACAAAATCGTATATCTATTCGGCCAAAATTACATAGAATTTTGTTGGTTTCGACCAAATTTTCTGACCTTTCATTAAAGTTTCTTTGGAACGAAACACCGTTTCCATGAATTTTTGGCAACTATGATTGATTTTAAAATAATTTCATCATATATATTATCAGACAAAAAGGCATGGAGAGTTCTTCTCTTTCGATTGTTGAAAATCAAAAGTGGACTAATTATTGTTATTATCGAGTTATGAAGCTTACACTCACTCTTCTTTAGTTTTGAGTGCGAACATCAATCTCATCAATTATTATAGAAATTAATTCTTGTTTGGTCCTCATCAAATATTGCAAAACAAAGCTGTTTCGTATTTAGCATAAGGAAAAATATTTCTGATGATCTCTCATTGATAATTAATACCAAACATGGCTATTTTGTTTTTTTTTTATTTCTTATGATTTTACAGTATGTAGAAGAACTTTCATCTTGTGATATGTTTCTCGTATTATAGTGTCAGTATATATGGCTTACAATATTTTATAGATTAATTAATTACCTTTTTATTGTTTCTATTATTTCATTAAACAGTTGTTCATAAGTTTTATCCTGTAAATTTTGTATATATGACGAACGTTCATCAATAAATGGTCCAAGCTAAAATAAAATTTTGTTAGTTAATAATTATATATCTTTAGAAAATAATTAAATACCAAAATTAATGTTTGAACTGATGGATCTTCGTCTGCTCGTCGAAGAAGTTCTTCAAATGCATTTAAATTTCCATTGGCAAGTAAAAATGGACCAGCCGCAATCATAAATGTTAAATCGTGTTTTATTTTTGTTTCAACTTCACGTGGAATTAAAGGTGGCTAAATAATTTCATTTTAAATTTTCTCTTTTTTTTTTGGTTTTTATAAAATTTTTATCTTTTCATATTTACATCAATTAATTGTTTAGCATGAAAACATCCATCATTTGTATAAATACCGGAAACAAGTACAATCTAGATTAAAAAGAAAAAAATTTAGTTTTAATTTAAATTATATTTTATATACTTGTCCAGGAAATAATGAATAATTAGGTAATGATGAAACATCAAGACGAACACGATTACATTTCGATGTTCGAGATGAACCTTCAAGTATAATCGATTGACTATTCAATTGACCAGCTGAATCACATACAATACGACCGACAAGATGTACTTCATCCTAATCAATATAACTATATACATGATAGATTTTTTTTTGAACAAATTTTTTACTTGAACAGCATTTCCAATTGGATAAAGAATAATATTTGATTTTTCATTTTCTTTATTATTAATCATATTTAAAAATAAATCTTCAAAATCTTCTATTTGTTTATTAAGTACTATGAAAAAAAAATACGATGAATTATGTTTCATATATATATATAAATTATATTAACCATTAGCACGTTTAAACATTGTTTGATACATATATTTATATGGTTTAACTAACGATTTCAATTGAATAACAGGTACTTTTTTTGTTTGATTCGTATTTTTATTAATTGATTGATTTCCAATATGTTCAACAACAACTTCAGCTTTATTTAATCGAGCATGAAATGCTGCTGCATTTGGTGTACTTGCTTGATTAATAGTTGTCGAACGAACTGGAGTATTGACTGATGATATTAACTTTGTAGATGATGCATGACTTTGTTGTTGTTGTAATGGTATTGATACAGCTGAACGACGAGAATTCTATGAGAACAGAAAACATGACATATTCAAATGATTAATGCAATATTCTTATCTTACTATCATTTCCGTTGTTGAATAACTATCGAGAAGGCCAGCAAGTGCATCCATTGCAATACCTGTTGGTTGAAGAGATTTTTTCTGTGGAGATTTACTATTCTCTTGTTCGATAATATCATCAGCATCCATATCAAAATCTTCCATGATTACTAATCTAAAAAATATCGATTGATAAAAATCGAAAAGAATATGCTTTTTTTTTAATTAGATAAAGAAATAATAATAAAACTATAAAAACAAATACCTAATAAAATAAAATGCTTATGTTAACAAAGATTTGTCTAAATTACTTTTCGTGATAGTATCAAGGAAATCTTATCAATATGAACATGTTAGACTAAAGAGTAGCCACAATTTCGCAAGCTGTTAGGAAAAATATTACTATAGAATATAAATAAGGTCTGAAACCAACGTTGTTAGAATCTTTGTATCATACCTTATTTGACTTCACATCAGATTCAGAGGCAAATCGGCAAAAACTTGAAATTTTCAATCAGTATCATCTAATTCAACGGATGATTTCTTTACTTTATGATTGTGCATAACCAATGCATGTATAGAAATGTATAATAATTTAAGATTAGTATGAATATATCAAGAAGGTCCACTTTCATATCTTTTCTAAGACCAAGAATCTAGCATCATTTGATGAAATACTACTCATTCTTCTTTCTTTCATAATTTCTATACCTTAGTAAATTTAGCATCATGATCCGTCGAAACTTGTACCAGAAACGAGTGAAAAAGCATGTAAAAGAAAAAGAATTAACGCTGCGAGTAGAATTCAAACCTACGCGGGAAAACCCATCTGATGACACGTAAAGTTGATTTAAACATGTTTCGAGTCAGACGCCTTAACCGCTCGGCCATCACAACTGATTATTAATTAAATAATCAAAAATAAAATGATTCGAACATTGCTTCTTGTCTTTGACCTTTATACTCACACAACAGGATAAAATTCTAGATTTTCACTATTGAATAGCGTTTATTTTTCGAGACAACTGACTTTAAATACGTTCGATGTATAAGTAGTTTCTTGTTGGAGTAAATCATACAGTTGATAGAAATATCTAAGACTCATTAGAATCTCCTGTCAAGTCTTGAATTTGAACTCATCTCTGTCCATTAGTTTTAAGTCATATCCTATTTTAATTAATTGTATACGAAATGAATTTTCTCTAGACTTTCTTACTCATCTGTAGCTTCATATTCTTTTCTTTAAGTTTATAAATACTGCTAGGTTACCAACTTAATCAGTATACAAAATGATTTATCATTACAAATCTTTGAACAATCGCAAATAACTAATCCAAAGAAAAAACTTTTCGGAAGGCCTTTTAAATTCACAGGTGAATCTCTTCAGATTTCAAGTTGAATTTCTACTGGACGATGTTCATTGCATAAGTACTAGTGAATAATACAAAAATCTAGAATAGTTTTGCTTTCGGAGTCTTCTTTCGTGAGATACCGACATTTTACTAGATTTTTCAACAAAAAGCTGTAGTTACGTGAAAAAATCAACTTTCGAGTTTCCAGTTAAACTTCATATGAATGAAACTCTCCATGAGATTAGTTTATTGGATCTAAGTATCTTAGTAAACATAGCCAAATCACAGACTCACAACCTAACTACGCGCATCGTATAGGTTTTGATACGCTACGAATACCGTGACTGCTCTCTCAGAAACACCAGAAAAGATTCTTTGTTTATGTCTATTGTGAAATAAGAACATCGGAAATTGCCGTTGTATATGATTGGCGTGAAAACGTGCTTTTTGTCATAGCCGTATTGAAGGACTTGAAACTTACACAATAAACTGCTCTCATTGAGTCGTGTTTAGAGATATGTAGGATCAACTTTTAGTCTCAGTCCCGGTTCCGGTAAAGTTTCATTTTTGGTTCCGCACATCTCTAGTCGTGTTTCTATACAAAGTTTCAAGTCAAAACTCGAAAGTCAATTTTTCTAGTTTTCCTGAGAGAACCACAAGATTATGATAACATACAGTATCTCGGCAGTAATAAACTATTAATCCAAAATATATTCAGAGAATTTATAGCTCATTAAAACCTACGTATGATATACATAATCTCGACTCATCAGTGATTTCCTACTTAAAAACGTTACCTCGTTAAATTAAATAATAATCAATAACAACAAAAAACTACACTTATTTAATTTTGTCTCTAGAAAATAAAAAGATTTTTCGTCTACGTTGTATTTTGTTTTGGCTTATTGTCATGATATTTATGATTTGATAAAGGCACCTTGTTCTAAACAGAGAAAAAGCTCTATTGAATAAAATAAATATTTCATATATTTTAGTAACATCCCTACCAAATAAAAATAATTATTTTATTTTATGAAAAAGTCGAACAACTATTGGTTTTTTGATAATTAATTCATTTTTTTTTATATAAAATACAAATGAATACATCGTATGCTTTAAATTTCAAACAAAAGAAAGATGGATTATCCATTATATGTTCCACATATTTCATTGGTTCGATAATGAGCGAATTATTTACTTTAGTTATTCTTTGTTTCTGTAAAGAAAAAGGAAATTATTTTGCGGTTTTTGTCTACTAATCACAAAAATGTGGTTTAAATTAAATCCAATTAATATACTTGGTGAATTTTTTATTTATCTAATTATTGATAATATTACGAAATATATTGTTATTAGTGAAACGTATGTTTTTTTTTGTTCTTTTATTTATTCAGAAAAAAAAAGAAAAAAATTTTTTTTTTTGTTTAGAAAAAAAAAACATCTTCATATATTAATATGTGAATGCATGTTTCTTGGTTTTCTAGTTGGTTTTATATCATTCTATTATTATATTCCATATGTACTTATATGTTTTTTATTGATTCATATTATTGGAACAATTTATTCAGTCAAAGGTTTCATTGGAATAAAACAAATAATTGAAATTTTTCAAAATATAATAACATATTCATATAAATATTTTATAAATCGAATTTTTCGTTGTTCATCTTCGAAAATCGTACAAACAAATAAAATTCCAAAAGAATATCAATATAATTATAATCTAAAACCGACAAATGATATTCGACTTCAACAAGTAGGAATTTATTAGAAATTTTTTTTATGTAGATCTTTTTATTTTTATTATTTTTATAGTCGTCATTTATTCAAACATTACCAAGACCAGGCATTATTAATTTATATGGTACAACATGTTCATTAAATGCCCTATTGCAAAGTTTAGCATCATTAAATAGATTTTATTTATCATTTCAACGAAATATAAATGTAAGAATTCGAAATCAATTATTAACGAGAGAACTTAATTATTTGATGTGCTCATGAATAATAGAATAGTCTGTCATGATTTGACTTTTCGAACCTTCGTTCTCAAGATATCAAAATTTTATTGGGTTTTTCAATACAAAGCTATGAACACGTAAAAAATTGATTTTTGAATTCATACTTCAAACTTAGCACGTAGAAAGTTCTTCACGAGATTATTCTATCAGACAAGTTACAACTCTTCTAGTATTTGCTATCTTGATATATTCGAAAGTCTATTTTTCACATGAACACAACTTTTTTTATAGGAAAACCTATTAAAATTTCGATTAGTTTTGATTGAAAAATAGTTTGATACTTGAAGAGACTCGCTTGTAAGTTTTAATGTATAATAGTTTTTGCTTACATCGTATTATGATTGTTTATTCATTTTTTTGAAATTCTGCAGAATATTTCGATTTTATAGTAATTAAAAATAAGATTTTGTCAAATTACGATTAAGAAACGATCTAGCAGCAAAAAAAGCACGACAGAATATCATTATACTTTAATTTATGTAAATATTGATAATTGAATGATAGCCATTATTGGATATCATAGTCTAGTTGAAAGATACTAAAATTGGTAAATAGCATCACGTTTTTAATATTTTCTATGAGTAACGTGACATCATTGAATATTCTTTTCTTCTTATAATAAATAATATAAGCATATTTCCAATTGAGTTAATCTTATGAAATATGAAAGTTTTTAATTGAACAATTATTTCAATATCATTAATTAGATGAATTTCAAATAATTGTATTTTGTTTTCTATTAATTTAGTTATCACGTTTTAATTATGATCCAATCGTACCTACATTTCTTGATCTTATTTCTCAATTACGAAATGATCATCGTACATCAGACTATAAACATTGGACTAAACTTGTTGATACATCAGAATTTATTTCAAAATTAAATTTAATTTATGCAAATTTATTAACAGAAAATACAACAACAGATATATGTGAATTATTTCAATGTATTATTGATACACTTAATAATTCTTTATCACAAGAATCATGTGTTTATTCAACAAAGTAAATTATATTAATAATTTTCTTATAATTTCATATCTATATTATTTAGTGTTATTGAACAAGTTCAAAATGCAAAATTAACAACATTTTCACTTGAGTATTTAAATAAATTATTTGTTGAAACAGAAGAGCAAGTAAAAAAAAAAACATATTATTATAAATATTTTTTGTTTTTTTGAAAAAATTTTTCTTTTAGATTCATAACAAAATAACTTTAGATAATCTCGATGCACAAACATCAAATATAATGCAATATGTTGATATTACTTGGTTATTACATCACATACAATTTGGTTCAACTATGAAACATACATTTTCTGGACAAATACTTCATGCACATTGTTGTAATAAGTAAATAAAATAGAAATTTTTCTTTATTCTTTATCGTCTTTCAAAATTATTTGTTATTTTAGTTGTTCTCATGTTCATTTTCGTACAGAACCATTTCAAATATTAACATTATCAATTAATAAAACAAATCAAACATTAGAACAAATTATTTCTCAATTAACAAAAATTGAAATCGTATATAATCAATTAAATTTTTATATATTTAACGAACTTAATATTTGTTCGGTTTTTTTTTGTCTCATTTATCTAGATAGACTCAATATCATGTTCATACTGTTCTAATCAAATAAAAAATGAACAAGAAAGAATGATCAAACATGATGCACTTCTCAGTAAAATAACGTATGTTTTATTATTTCATTAAAAGAGAAAAAGTCTTAAGAATTCATTGGAATTGAACTTAATCTAATTTATGATTTTTATATTCATATGAAATTCATGTTTAAACTAATGAAATGATAGATGACATTTATTTTTAAGTACACAGCAGTTTTTGCTCACCTTGAAACTTTGTATATGAGATAGTCTAGTCAAGACCTGTTATGTATATAAATTTCAGACCAAAATTCTGAAATATAATTTGTTTTTTTTGAAAATTAGACTTCTGCAGCATGCATCTATTAAAATATCGCTGTGTCGAACGAATCTAAGCACGAGCAGAAAAGTTTTAGAGGTGACGCTACTCTAATAATCTTCTACCTACAAACAAAATATAGTGATAAAACAGTGGATTATTTGGGAAAGTAAAAAAGATATTCCTCTGTTATTCATAATTTCTCTGAATAAGATTTTAAAATAGTTTAAAAATTTTCTACTAAATTGTTTATTATAGTAAGCTAGAACTCAAAAGGTATCAAACTCTATTCACTCTGTTCGAACAATTACTCTCTATGTGAGGTGGTGGTTTTTAGCCGTTGTAAAAGGTTTCTTCTTTTTAGGCTACAATGAAAGTTCTGAATTTATATTTAGAAAGAGTATGAAATATTAATTATTGTACTCTAGTGATTTATAAGTAAGCGAAAATTAACGAAATATGTTGTGCAAAGACGTTTTTTACATACAGTTTAACAGGTACCGAACACTAAATTTTATACTGATAATTCGAGTATAGTACTGAGCATTTAATTTGTTGTTTGTTTCTATTATATCAGAGTCTATCATCATTTAAAGATTTAATTGATGTATTTTTGAGGAATTTAGGAATCGAAGACAATAAAGATTTTGACTAAGTTAATAGCATCAAGTCTAAAAGATCAACCCATCGAAAATAATGAATATAATGCGTTTTGATACTAGACAGTCGGCTATAAATATAAACAATCCGAAAGGCAAGTATAGGAAAACTCATTGGCTTAGATAAGTGTTGAAAGCTATCATTTCCTTCTCAATTTAATCATTTGCTTGTCTTTGGTGTAAATCATCTATTTATTCTAATAAAACAGAAATAATTAACAGTTTCATATGATCTGATAGAGAATGAAAAAAAAGTACAAAAACATGTCAATAATTTTCGATACATAAATAACATAGAAATCATCATTAGTAAAGTAAATCGTTGGTGTTTTATCTTATATGGGCGCAGTGCTTTTCCGGAGATCGAGTTGACCCTTCTGAACTTTTTAATCGCCTTAACGTAAGAGAAAATCTGTGTAGTATTATAGAATATCTGAATACAAAAAAAGATTACCTATCCTACATTAATTCAATATAATTTTCTTTTAGATCGACTGTATCACCTATTGTTACTTCACGTCGTCAGATTTCCGATCATATATTTTCATCAACACCGATATCATGTATATTATAATATTTTAATTAAACAAAACAAAGAATATCTATTTAATTGTATTCTAGCTTCTACTACAAATATTCTGCCATTTGCAAAAAATCATATTCATCATAGAATAAAAAGTCAAAAAATGATTTCAAATTTTCCCGATGTTCTTTGTATTCAATTAAAACGTTTTTCATATGATCGTCTATCAAATAGAAGAATAAAATTAAATACATCAATTATAATTGAACCAGAAAAAATTCTTGATTTGTCACATCTTCATTATACAACATGGCTTGGATTAAGAGATTTATCGATTTCTTATCATTATCGCTTAATAACTATTTGTTTGCATTTATCAGAAAATTCTACTTCATCTTCATCATCATCATCGATAAATTTAACAAAAAGAATAAATGAACATTATGTTTGTTTATATCGTACAGATCATAATCAATGGTTTATAAGTGATGATGAACGTATTATAGAAATAAATGATATAAATAATCTTTGTCAAACATCATACATTACTGAAAATTGTTATCTTTTATTCTATGAAAGATATTTATGATTCTTAAAGAATCTTTCAATTCGTAGATTTTGTTTTTGGTTTTTTTCGTTTCTGTTGTTCACTTTGTTGTATATATATATGTGTATAGATACACTATTTTTGTATAATTATTAAAAATAAAAGAAACTTCATCCGTATTGTTCATATGTTTTTGAAAAAGAGAATGAATAGATTTTATTTTATTTTTAGAATTTAGAATGACAATGATATGTATTATTTGTTTTAATAATCATGCTGAAGATGATTGTCCAGATTTTGTATCATCATCGAAAATGAACGGAACAGAAAAGAAACCATCATCGTCATTGACTCGAAATCTTTCAAAGTATGAAAATGATTCAAATAAGATGTACCTTTACTTCCAATGCTTAAAGAAATTATTTTTGTACGAGTTTTCTAACAGGAGTCAAAAAAATGCAACAAGTTAAATTATTTTACTGATCTCTTTCAAATTGTTTATCTGATTTCGACGCTAAAGAAGTGTAAGGATAATTGAGAAGAATATTTTACAAGGTTAAAACAGTCCAATTCTTTTATTTTGTACGTGGGCATAATCCCAATTTTAATCTTCATATGCTAATTAACAAACAAAAGATGTTCGTGCAATCTCTGCAGGATTAAAATGTGAAACACTATGCAGCTGCTCTTGCTAATCATTGGAAGAATGTTTTATTCTATCTAATTTTGGGCACATTTCTTCAACATCTTTTTAGTTAATCCGTTAGAAATATGATAAGAAAGTCATCAATACATTATAACGAGACATTATTCATATATATATATATATATATATATGCTCTTTGATCTTATATCAACAACGTCTGTCATAGTCTATGGGGAGTACAAATTTCTACTCTATATATTGCAGGACTCCTTTTAGATCGTGCTAGACAAAAAGAAATTCTACTTGAAAGCTTTATTAATTGTAATAAACAAAATAATAATATTAGAGAGATAGCGGTATTAATAAAAAGTAAATATGCTAATTCAAAAAGAACTTTATTATGAGAGTCATTGAAACTATTGTTGATATCATGTGAATTTTATTCACAAATTAGAAAACCAGTTTTTTTTAAAGGTTTTTGTGGTTGTAAACAATATTGATCGAATCTATTTTATTGAGGGGTGGGTTGTTTGGAAATATAAAAATAATTTGTTTTGAGCTTTTTTCATAGTAACAATAATTTTTGAATTCTCTAAGAACATTAGGGGCAAGTTTCGACGTCAAAATGTTCGATTTTATAGGGCGCTAACTATGACTCATTCTATTCAAATATAATATAAAAAAAAATCATGTGCTTTATGAATCATTATTTGCTAAGTTAAAATTAAAATTTCAAAGTTAATTTTAATTATTATTTTTTTCTTTTTTTGTTTAATAGAGTTTTACTCTCATTGCCCACTCACATTCAAATGCGCCGTTGTGATGATACAATAACATTTTCACCAACAATTCGTATTTTAAAAACGACTATCATCGGTCCATTAGAAGGTCGTTTTATACCTGAAGATAAATTAACAACAACACCACGCAATGGTTTTCTTATTAAAGTATAGACAAAGAAAAATACAAAGTATTAAACCTTTAAATTTTATTCTTTAGATCTTTCGTGAAAATGGTAATAATCTTGTACTTGATGCATCAGATGAACGTAAAAATAATTGGTGTTGTTTAATTCCACCAGCAAGAACATCACAAGAAATTAATTGTTTATTATTTCAACGAAAATATAAACTTTATGCTAAAGTAGTTCGAACCATTTTAGCAACAGAATCATTGAGCATGTAAATAGAATTTTATAAGAAAAGAAAACAGGAAAACAATAATAAAATTTATTTCATATATATATATTTATTTATTTAGATGGTACTCAAGTAATTATGCTAAAGCAATGGGCATGCCCGAAACACCAGATGGTGGTCCATTAGGTTTGTTCTTTTGTTTTTATATCAAAACAGTAAAAAAAATTGTTAAATTAAAATTTTGTTTTTTTTTCAGCTCTCTATGGTAAAACTGGTCGAATGATTTTTCGATAATTTTTTTTGTTGTTATTGTCAAATAAATATTTATGTATATAGAAAAACAAAATAAAAGTTAATGATATATTTTGGTATTGTCAAGTAATATTTAAACGTTTCTTTTGATGTTGTCCGAAATGATCTTCTACTCGTTCCCAATAGGCACTTTGTATAGTACGTGTTGGATTTCGATAACGCTATGTTTATAAATAGTTTTAATATTAAAAATATGAAGAAAAGATCATGTTTATTTTTGAAAATATACTTACAGTGTAAGCAGCATATTTATTTGGAAATACAAGTTTAGGTAAAATTAATCTTGAATCCCACTTTTGTCTTGCAGTTAATGCTCTATACATTTCGGATAATGGTTTTTGAACAATAGGTATACGTTCATGTTCACGTTCTTGAAGCCATACTTGAACAAATCAAAATTAATAATTATAAAAACATATACGTATATTAATAAATATTTACTAGTATTCAAATGATCAGAAAGAAATCGAATTTTATATGGATCTCGTGCATATGTTGTATCAAATTCTGATAAACCAAATTCATTGATATCTGGATACTATTTTTGAACAAACAAAAAAAACCAACAGAATTAAATTAAACAAAGCGAATGTGAAAAAATACTTGTCGATAATCATGTAGTTTAGGATTTTTATATTGTTCTGTATTTAACATTCGTTTCACTTTATCATATTTAATTCTTGTATTGAGTAGAAAATCATCATTATCATTAGCATTTCTTACATGTGTTGTCGTTATATTTTGATATGGTACTGCAAAAGGTTTCATTACATCAGGATCATACATTCGTGAAACTGGTGGTTGTTTTTCATTTAATGAAATATCACTTAGCGATGGTACAGTCGTGTTTTTCTTTCGATCTGGATGAAAATTTTTTAAAGTAAAATCTAATGGTGGTTGTTTCCATGGATCAGCTGTCTGTGGTATTTCATTATGTTGTTGTATAGAACTTCGTAAACGATCATGTTCACATTCAGCATCAAATCGTTTTCTATCATCGAAAAGAAATGTTGGTTTGATGAGAGATGTGTTTGCATCCATTTTATAAGCTTTTTTAACGCTTCTATTAAAACGTTTAATGGACAGAAGAGGGAGAGAGAAAGAGAGAGAGCAAAAGAAAAAGTAAACTGTTACAATCAACAATGAAAACAGCAACCTCGTTACTATTTTTTTTACTTTTCTTTTGTTGTTAACGTTCAAATAAATGTTGAAGAAGAAAAACTTTTAGAATGAATTCTTTCAGTTCGTGAATAATAAAAGTATACTTAACTTTTTTTTTATGAAACTTATAGTAACGAAACACGCGTTAAAATTGATTTCTTGTTTGGTTTTTTTTTTCAAAAGAGAATACATGTTTAAAAAAAAAATGTTATTTGATTTGTCTATTAAAGATATATGCGATAATCAGCTTCAAATCGTGTGTGTTCATCTCAATAAAGGTTCCAGATAGTCTCATAATGCAATAAAACACATTGATACGAAAGGAAGAAAAAGAAAACAAGCAAGAATATAGAGAAACTCTTAACAACGAAAAATAGCGAATGAGCAAAATAGGTGTGAAATGAAAAAGAGAGACAAAAAAGAAAACAACATGACAATGAACATCTAATTAGAATAAAAAGAACAAAAATATATTTTGATGATTTCTGTTTTTGATATCTTGTGATGCATTTTAAGCTTAGCTTTAATTTTATCATATGAATATAATTCTCAATTATGTTAATTATACCATTTTTCTTCATTTTGATCTTTTTCTTTTGCTCATTTGAAATTTTCTCTAATTCGTCATTAAAAAAATGTATGTTTTTTTTCGATGTATGTATATATATGTATATATGATAAACGACAACGAGAGTTAGAGATAGAGAAAACAAACAAGCCAAAAAAAAGGAGTACAAGAGAACAAAAATGAAGTTGAGGCTATCATCCGGGCACGGAGCGCATAGACAGAAAAAATAAGACTTTTTTTTAATATATGTGTGTGTGTGTGTTTATATGCATGTGATCAACTGTTTTATTTAAGAACGATTTCCATTATCGACACCTGATGTTGTTGAATATGGTGAATAGATTCCATTTGTAATCATATGTGTTTGGGATTGTGTCGATGGTTGTTGTTGTTGCTGTGACCAACGCGTTGTTGGTATGAGATTATTTCCTGAGGATGATAATGTGGAAGATCCTTGTGATTGCGTAGTTGTGGACCATTGTGATGATGTTGTATCAAGTTTATTACCGAATGATATTATAGCTGGATCTGTCCATGGTAGATTTATCCATCGATCATTTGATACTAAACTACAAAGATAATGATATTATTTTAGAAAAACAAAATCTTACAGTTATTTGTGGTCACTGTACTATTAGAAGAATAATTGTTATTATTATTAGTATTATTATTATTATTATTTATCGGTTGAGAATATTGTGACGATGATTGTGTTGGTGGAAGTCTTTGTTGCATTTGATTAGTAAAATCTAAACGAGTTGATATTTGTGGTGCATATTGTTGTTGATTGCCGTTCCACATCGGTCTTGGCGATGATCCATCTATACAAATTAAAAAATAATAATAATTACATTGTTTTTCAAATGAAATAATTTTTCTTTTACTAAATGATATTGGATATCGTTGTTGTTTTTGTGGTGTTGTACCATTACTATGTATTATTGCTTGTTGTTGTTGTTGTTGTTGTTGATCATGATATTGTTGATATTGTTGTGGTTGTTGCAATAACCAATTTGTATTTATTTGTCCGATAGATGGATTCGTTGTAGGTGTATATTGTGATGAATAATTATACGAATTTGTTATCGGACGATGTACTATTGTTGATGGTAATGGTCGTCGTTCATCTTCAATATCAGATGCAAGTGCCGACATAAATAAACTACATGGATCAAAGCCTTTAAAAAAAATGAAAAGATTTGAATTTTAAGAAAAA